AAATGATACAAATGAAATTATTTACAAAACAGAAATAGACTCACAGACTTAGAAAGCTAACTTATGGTTACCAAAGGGGAAAGGAAGGGTAGAGATAAATTAGGAGTTTGGGATTAACATATACATAGTACTATATACAAAATAGATAAGCAACAGGGACTTACTGCATAGCACAGGGAACTATACTCGATATCTGTTATAACTTATAATGGAAAAGAATCCTGAGAAGTGTGTGTGTGTGTGTGTGTGTGTGTGTGTGTGTATACATATATATGCACGTAACTGAATCACACTGCTGTACACCTGAAAACAACATGACCTTGTAAACCAAATGGACTTCTAAATAAATAAAAGAAGTGTGTATCTGAGCTCACACAATAGACCTAGGCCAGTTTCAGAGCATCCAAATCAGTGTTTGAATGTGAAGTGGAGGTGAGCTGTACTTGGAATTAAGCTTATACTTTTCTGTCTTCTAGAAGATCACAGATGAAAACAGCAAAGTCATAATTGTATGACTAATCAGCAAAGGATCAATACACAGGCTAAAAATGGGGACGCTGCTAACTTTTTCACGTGACTCTGGCCACAATTTCGTTCTCTGCAGCTAGTGGTTTGCCTCAGAATGAACCGAAAGTGCATCTTGCCAACCATAAAATTAAGCAAATTCACACATAATGGACACCAGATAAATCCTTTTTAAATGGAACTAAGCTGAATCATACTCACCATCCAGACAGTGGTGAACCGTAAAAAAAAAAAAAAACAAAAGCAAAAATAAAAAAGCCCTACAAACCTGTTGAGAGATAAGAATTCATTTCAAACCCCTAAATTCATTGGAATTTCACGAGATTCTGCATCTCTGAGGGGTAAAAGGAAAATCAAGGATGCAGAGGGCAAGGGCTGCATTTGTTTTGTTCCTTGAGTGAACGAGAGGTGAGGGCAGCTTGGAACAGGAGAGGGTTGCGTTAAGAAATGTGAGTGGGACCCATGCAGAGGCCATTGGCTGCTGAAAGCATCTCCTGGTTTGATGGTTTGATGGTTTCAGGAAATTACTTGCAAAGCTGGCTGGATTCACTCCAGATGGCCACAGTGGTGTGGTTTGTGAAACCATTAAAATGTAGAAAAGAGTCAAAAATATCCTTTTGGTCTTGAAGATACCAAGCCCTTATCCCCCAGTGAACAGTACAGGAAGCTCTGAGGGGCCCCAGGAGCTATCATGGGAGCCACAGAGCTGATGGGAGCAGATGGGGGCATGGCAGAGCCCACAGTCTCTTTCTCAACCTGTTTCTAATATAAAAGATTTAAGCTTTGTAGATACTTTCGGTGGGGGGCGGGGGTGACTATTTGATCAATTCTTCCAAGGATGGTACATAACTGGTACTGCGATGCATTGGAGAGAAATTGATTTCCCAATGCCAGGAGTGCCTTAGGGCACTGGGCTTAAATGCCTCCAGGAGCCTGACGGAGAGGCTTCCAGAAACTGGGCTGAAGGTGAGATCCTGGCATAAAGCATCCAGGAAACGTGAATCTTGGTCCCCAACTGGTGTCAGGACAAAAGTCGTATCAGCTGCAGAGGCTGAAAGAACATTTGCAGTCATGGGCCATAAAGCAAGCACTGGGCATTGGGCAGAAGTTTGGGTTTTCTGTTTATCTAACTTGGAGTAGTTTGGCCTGGGCGGTGCACACACACAGCTCATTCCCAGCACTGAAGGCAAATGGGCCACGGCCAGGTGAGCAATTTCAGACCTTACTGCCTGTCTTCCATTCCACCCTCTGGAAAACCAGCTCCACACACACTGGTACCATCAGGCTCCTGCAGGCTCTGTGTCCAGGAAACCCCACTGAGCTCCCTAATCCAGGGAGGTTACTGTTACACGCAGAGCAGGCAAGGCACCCCACTCCCAAGGAACCACCTAATGAAAGCCTCATGGAGAGACTAAGGTTGCACAGACTCAGGCTAATTCCATCTGGGCCTCGTGCCGAAGCTATGACCTCACCGTCGGGCAAACCAACAGGGACCCCAGAAAGAAAAGATCAGTATGTGGGCCAGACCTGCTGCTAATCACAGCCAGCTGGGATGCAGGGAGGCACCGCCATCTTCCTGCCGCCCCTGGATACCAGGACCAGGATCTGCGAGCCAGGAGGCATGGTCATCTTACAGCAAAGAATCCTAAGTTCTGGCCCAAACACGTGTGTGTGTGTGTGTGTGTGTGTGTGTGTGTGTGTGTGTGTGTGTGTGTGTGTGTGTGTGTGTGTGTGTG